TTAAATGGGACTATAATAGGAATGACCACGCATCTTTCACATCTTTAAGAACAGCACTCATCCTTGCCATCCTGTGGGATATAATACTGCTTTTTATTTATCATCTTGGCCAGAAGGGACAGTTTCAGAGGCTGCCACTTGAATCTCCCCACTGTGATAGCTCTTACCTCACAGGATAAGGGGGCTTGTGTCAATTACTAAGTATGTCAATTACAATTATACATTTGGAGACCACCGAGGATGGTACGGTGGACCCACTGTGAGCTGGACCTAGGCTAGAACTCCATTTATCACCTGGCTCTCTTAGCAGGGGCCATGCTAATGCTCTGGGTTTTCCCTTCCCCAGTACACAGTTACCTGAGTAACATTGGAAAGAAACAGGGGAATCCTTGCTGTGGGCAATCATGGGGTTCTTCCTCCTGGGGACATGGGCTTTCTGTCAATCAAGTTTCCAGGTCCAAGAACTCGCTTAGGATGCACACTGGGGAAGGGATTGTTTCTTTTTATTAAGGTCACTGTCTTTAGCTTCCCAGACATCCATGCTTGCTGTTTTCGATTATGCAGATACAGTAGTACCCTTGCTGGCTGCACATCTATGTGGCCCCTAGGGATGCCAAGTTGTATTCACTCCACAGGTCTCTGCAGGTCAGGCTCCCCTGGCCTTCTCTCTACCCTACCACTCACCACAATGACATCTTCCTGCCTTCTGATAGTGCCATAGTCTCTACGTTGGTGTCTCCCCAAAATTCATAGGTTGAAACCTAATCACCAATGTGAGGGTATTAGGAGGTGGGGGCTTTGGAAGGCGATTGGGTCATAAGGGTGGAGCCTCATGAATGGGACTCGTGCCCTAATGAAAAGATGCCCCAGCATGCTGCCCTGCCTGTTCTGCTCTCTGAGGACATGGTGAGAAGGTACCATCTAGGAGCCAGAAACTGGGCCCTCCGCAGACACCAAACTTACTTTGATCTTGGACTTCCCAGCCTCCAGAGCTGTTAGAAATAAATTCCTTTATAAGCCACCCAGCCTATAATATTTTGTGACAGCAGCACTAAGGCAGATGGCTTCTGGTTTTCCAAGGTCCTTGGGATAATTGCTGTGAGTGAGCCTGGCTCTACCCTGGCAACTCCTCCTGCCAGCCCTGGTCCCCAGAGAGGAGCCATCACTGAACTTCTAAGTGGTGCGTTCCTAACAGCCTTGGGTCAGGGGTGGGATGTCATCTGGGTCCTGTGTACAGCATAGGCCTCTGGGAGTTCCAGTCTTACATGGCACACCTCCTCTGGTGGGTCCACCAATCTGGGCCTCCAAGTGCCTTTTCTCACTGTCTGCCCTGTCATTTCTCACTTCATGTTGGTTGCTGCTTTTCCCATGTTTCTAGGAACCATCTGTAGTGAGTTTGCACCATCTCCTGGGCCACTGGTGAGAGTAATAAATCCTGTACCCCGGGAGAGTTCTCCCAAGTTGATAAACACTCCTTTATCCAATCTTACCTTCTGACCTTCTTGAGCAGACACCCTTGGATTCCAGTCCTATGTTCCCACAGACCTGTGCTGGCTAGGTCCTCCCGCCCCTTTGGGATATAGCCTCTTCTTTCCTTATCAGGCCCCACATGCCCACAGCAGGTTGCTATTGTGACTTCATCCTAGTCATTGTCCTAGTGATCGGGAGGACAGGATGAGGCAGAGCCTGAGCCAGGGACGTGTTGTCTGGATGGGGAGAGGCCTCTGCACAGTGTCCAGGCAAGGAAGGAGGGAGTGCCAGCCTTCGGCAGTGAGGTTGGCATTCCTGCAGGCTCAGAGAGCTCAGGGGGATCTGGAGAGTCCATTGTTTGTAGGCGCCTCAACCTAGATGTCCCCAGCCTGTGTGTCAGGGTTGTACCCTCTTTATTTCTTTATTTTTTTCGGGGGGAGTGGACAGAGGCTTCCTATGTCACCCAGGCTGCAGTGCAGTGTGGAGTAATCTCAGCTCACTGCAACCTCTGCCTCCCAAATTCAAGCAATTCTCCTGCCTCAGCCTCCTGAGTAGCTGGGATTACAGGTGTGTGCCACCACGCCCGGCTAATTTTCATATTTTTAGTAGAGACAGGGATTCACCATGCTGGCCCGGCTGGTCTCAAACTCCTGACCTCATGAGCTACCCACCTCGGCCTCACAAAGTGCTGGAATTACAAGCATGAGCCACCGCACCTGGCCACAGGGGTGCGCTCTCTTCTAACCAGGGCCCTGGCCGTGGCACGGTGGACTCACCTGGGTTGGAGTTGCATCTTCTGTGGATCCTGAACCTGGTTTCTGCTTTCTCTGCCCTCTTGCTGCAGATGAGAGCCTCTTTAAATGCCAACGAAAGGGCCTCTGGCTTTCACATTGGCCTTTAATTGCTGATTTATCAGGCTCAGCTTTTTGTTACTGTTTTTCAGATCAAGCGGGTTTAACAATAGCCACCCAGTTCGACTGTTACATTACTTCCCTTCCGACCCTCCACCCCCGTCTTTCTCAAATCTATTACACTTATACATCACACCAGTTAATGAATTTCTTTCACAAGTCCAGCATCCTTCATCACCTGGGCCAGGGGCACTCTGTGCCAGGCATCTCGTTGCCAGCTGAGCAGCAGGTGGTTCAGCTCCAAACTCTCCACCCCAGTGTCTGCTTTCCTGACTCATGTTCAGCACCAACTGTAACAGGTTGGGTTCCTGGAAAAAAGACTGTGGTGGAGTTCAGCATGCAGGTTGTTTATGGAGAGTTAATTTTGGGATCAACACCTGTGGAAGGGAAAGGCGAGAAGTCCTCAGGGTGGGTCGAATCTCCGTCTCCACACACACACCTGTCTCCATCTCTAATTCCTCTGCCTTGGCCTCACTCTCAGGCAATCTCCCTACTGAGGTTAAAGATTGCCCCCAGCAGCTCCAGGCCCACAGCCTGCCGGCTCAGTAACACTGGCAGAAAGATTGGGCCCCACACCCAGCAAGTAATAGCTGTAGGATAAACCCCAGGGGCAGACACCCATGGGCCAGGCCTGGGACATGGGGTCATCCCTAGACCTGGGGGGATAAGGGCAGCCCCTTTCCATGGGAACTTGGGGAAAAGAGGTTTCCTAAGGGGAAACTGAGATGCTGTGAGCAAAATAAAGGAGAGCAGATGCTGGCAAACACCAGATACCCACTTCCCTCCACCTGGGAGCCCCTGCCATTCCATCGAGAGGGCGAAGGGGCATTGGACTGGTTGGCCTGTGTGGGGGCTTGTGCTAAATTCAGGAATGTGGTTCATGTGACCGCATGTGACACGTGTCTGTGTGGCTGCCTGGAGACACACTGCATGGCCCACCGGCCATGTTTCTGGGGTCCATCAAAGTGGGTCTAGCATCCAAGGGGCCCCAGCTTCCCAGGGAAATGGGAAAAAATCAGGGATCAGACAGATTTGCATGAAATTGTGTGTGACCCTGGGGTCAGGCTTCTATTCTTGCTGAGCCTGAGCACCCCGCTGACATCTGATCTGAAGTGGGGTCTGGATTCTCCCTGTGAGAATTAAGCGAGAGCATGCTCATGAAGCCCCTGGCATGGGGCCTGGTACACTGTTTGTTCTTAATATATTAAACATGAGAATATTTTAAGATGCATTCCTTGGCAGAGGAGAGCGCCTACTTGGGAGGCGGTGGTTGCCTTGGAAACATGGGTTTCTCTGCACAAAGGGTCTGGGACCCCTAAGGACTGGGCTTGCCTCTCTGACTTTCCCCCGGGCAAGATTCCCAGGATTTTCGGTCTGTGTCAAAAATCTTCCTCTTTTGGCTTAAGCTGTTGATCTCTCAAAGCCCCATCGGGCAGTCACCATCTTTTGGTCCATGGTTTCTGGAAAGCCAGGTTTTCGAATGACTTCTTGGCTACAGATCCTTTGCTGGGTCAGCCCTGGGGAGTTAACCCTCATCCCCAGCCCCGAGCCTGAGTCCAGGTGGACGACGAGGCCACCTTTGACTCTAATTTGTCTTGAAATCGTTCCTCTGCCTGGCTTCCTCCATTCAGTACGCATTGTTGGCACCTGCTTTTGCTGGCACCAGTGTGAGGCCCCCGGGGTGGTGTCTGAGGTCCTCTCCTCAGCGAAGGGTAGATGGCTGAGGACTGGGTCACACAGTGCTCTATGGGACAAGGCAGCGGAGAGCTGGGGGAATGAGGGGGAGCCAGCTCCAGCCTGAGCCTGCAATCCCTGGGTCTGACTGACCCTCAGGCGTGCTCTCTTTGGCCTGCAAATGTTTAAAAACATTTATCTACATTACCATTGCTGTACCGTTTCATCAAATCGACTATGACACTGATTGCAAGGTAAGCCTCCATTTGACCTACCACCAATAAAATAAAGCTGACAAACTCTGACATCCAGCAATTGTAAGATGGCCCCCAACTTCAGTGATTTTAATATGTACTGCTTAGTATTGGTGGAATACAGTAATTATCAACATTTAAACATTGGGGAAACAGCATGTCAGTCTCTCAAAAAGTTAAAAATAGAAATACCATATGAGGCAGCATTCCGCTTCTGGGGATATACCCAAAAGAATTAAAAGCAGAGACTTGGCTGGGTGTGGTGGCTCACGCCTGTAATGCCAGCACTTTGGGAGGCTGAGTGGGCAGATCACTTGAGGTCAGGAGCTCGAGATCAGCCTGGCCAACATGGTGAAACCCCGTCTCCACTAAAAATACAAAAATTAGCTGGGTGTGGTGGTGGGTACCTGTAATCCCAGCTACTCAGGAGGCTGACGCAGGAGAATTGCTTGAACCGGGGAGTCAGAGGTTGTGGTGAGCTGAGATTGCACCACTGCACTCCAGCCTGGGTGACTGAGTGAGACTCTGTCTCAAAAATAAATAATAAAATAAAAGCAGAGACTCGAGGAGACATTTGTCTGCCACGTTCACAGCAGCACTATTCACAATAGTTAAAGCATAGAAGCAACCGGAGGGTCCGTGACGGACACCAAATGTGCACATACACACACGGACTATGATTCCACCATAGGAAGGAGGAAAATCCTGATACGTGCTGCAGCCTGGATGGACCTTGAGGACATGATGCCGCGTGAAACGAGCCAGATGCGAAAGGACGAATACTGTATGACTCCACTTGCATGAGGTCTTTGGAGGAGTCAGAATCACAAAGACAGAAAGCAGAATGGTGGGTGCCAGGGGCTGGGGCGATGGGCAGACAAGTGCTTAAGAGGTGCAGGGTTTTGGCTTAACAAGATGAAAAGAGTTCTGGAGGGGAATGGTGGTGATGGTTGTACAACAATGGGAATGTACTCAGTGCCCCAGAACTGCACGCTAAAGAACGGTTTTGAAGGCCAGGTAGGGGTTTGTAAGGTTCAGGAGCTGGAGTTGTACATTCCCTCAAAGGAAATAATGTTGGATCTCCTGGCTTACTTTCAGGCATTAACCCCATTTCCAAGAGGATGTAACTGAATGTCACACAGGTCGGGCATGCAGAATGCAGAGCTGGGACTCACACCCAGTTCCGTGTGACTCTGAGCCTGGTGGTCAAAACTCACCTAGCAAAATGAGTGCTGCTGTTCCCAAGACTCACTCCTGCAGCAACTCTGCTACTCAAAGACCCAGACATATGACGGCCACCTGCACTCAGCTCTGCTTTCCCCTGTATGAATGTCCTTCCCAGCGGGCCCTTTCTAGAAGGTGGCAGGAGGAACACTGGCAGCTCCAGACCTGTATTTGGCCATTCAGCCAAAGGAGAGGGAAGAGGAGGGCTGGCGAGGGGAGGGGAGGGAGGGGCGCTGCTTTTCCAATGGTTCTTGTGAAAGTTTCAGATGGGGATTTCACTGGTTATACTTGCTTCATGGGATCATCCTTTAACCCATTCTGGTTCACCTTTGAAGTTGGCCAGGAGAGCTAGAGCTACAGGGGTTGAGAGTAAGGAAGGGTAGTCCCTCAAAACAATGTTGGGGTTCTGCTCTTAGAAGAAAGACAGATGGCCAACACGCTCAGCTGGTGTTCTTCACAGAACCTCAGAGGAGTCTGCAGCCTGGTCTGCAGGAGACACAGCTGCCCAGCGATCTCCTTTGAGCTTGGGCTGAGAAAGGCACCAGGCCCCTGAGCTGGGGGAAGTGGGGAAGGGCACACAGCCCAAGAAGCCCTCCTGAGAGGCAGAATGACCACCCTAAGGGCGGAATCCTGTGTCAGGGAACAGGTATGGTTGCTGTGTGAGCTGCTCAGACAGGGCGGGGACATTCCTTTCCCCTCCCCACACTGTCCTGACTGCCATCTGGAGGAAGAATGTGTGAGCTTCCACAACTTACCGGCTTGAACCAGGGACTCCGCCTGACCAAGCCCTCCAGGGATTGGCAGTGATTAAGTAAGAGGGAGAAAGGGGTTTTAGAAATTAGTACCAACCCCTGGGGGATAAAACCAGCCTAGAGGAAGCCAGAGAGGTGAGCTTAGTCCCCATGGCATCTGCTGACCCTTTGTGTAGAGAAACTTGTTTCCAGGGCAACCACCACACCCTGATTGGATACCTCACCTTGCCAAGGAGTGCAATTGGAAACATTCTGACATAAAATTTATTGCAAACATTCTGCGTACCAGGCCCTGTGTCAGGGGCCATCCATACATGGTCTCCTTCCAGACTCTCCGCTTGAGGGGGCATCGTTCCCATTTCACAGACGAGGAAACCGAGCTTCTAGGAAGCTAGGAAACTTTCACCATGGTCACGCACTGGAAGGTAGAGAAGCCAGATCCCACTCCTGCCCCCTGCAGATCCGTCTGACATACAAGCATCGTTTCTTTCATGCTAGGACCCCTTGCTGCTGGAGGCCAGAGACCCAGCTGTAGCCTGCAGCACCCCAGAAACGTGGCAGGTGGGTGGTGCGCCTGTGTCCCACAGTCACTCAGCAAATATTCTGAGGACACTGGAACAGGAGGCACAGAGGGAGACTTCACTTTCTGGCCTGAGTCTCCTGCCTCCCTTTCTCATCTAAAGTATTTTGGGCCCCCACTGCTCAGCGGGGAGGGGGCGGGAGGTTTAGAACGCCCTGGGAGGGGTGGAATAGGCAGGGAGAGCGGGGGAGGGACCAAGGCCCCAGACAAGGCGGGAGGCAGGGAGGCAGCTTCATTAGCCTGTCCCCAGGGGATCTGGCAGCCGGTTATCAAGTGCTCCCAGCGTTGAAGTCCTTGGTGGGAAGGGAAAAACCAACTGTGGGAGTTGTGTGTTGTGTCGGGGAGGGGGGGCTGGCTCTGCCTGGACCGGGAAACCCCTTGGTGTCATTTGATTGGGGGAGGGCTGATATTGGGGCTTCTCCAGGGCCTACACCTGTCACCGTAGCTACTCCCTGGCAGCAGAGATGTCTTGGGCATCCTTGGATGCAGGCAGGGAGCTGGATCAATGTCAGAGCTGGTCCTCAGGGTGCCTCTGAGGGGCACCCCCATCCTGAGGGCTCCTTGGCTAGGGGGCTGGGGATCCACTGGACCCTCACACCCTGCCTTGTCTGTCTCTGAGAATTCTGCCATTTCTATTTGCAGTCTTGGGGCCTCTTCCTGCTCCCATATTGCAGACCATAGCATTTTCCCTTGTTCCGTGTGGAAAGACATCTGTTAGGTGGCTCAGTTCCCCGTGCCTCTTCTCGCCCCCTTACCATGCGCTCCCTGGCCATTGGTGGTGACTTGAATTCCTACCTCCAGCTCAGACCTCTCTGCTGAGCAGCTGCCTCGTGGATGTCTCCTGGGGTGCTTCCGGGCTCCACACACTCCTGCATTCTCATCTTCTCCTCATATCTGCTCTGCCTCTGTGGTGCCTGTCTTGAGGGAGGGTACTAGCCCGGGACAGAAAACTGGACTCATCCTCAGCTATGTTTCTTTCCTCTGACCACCCACAGGGAGGTCAGCTCTCCAGTGTCTCCGTCCGCTCTCTTCCCCACAGCCCTAGATTTCACACCTTCCCTTCCCTGCTGAACCATTTCACGGTCTTCACTTTGGTCCGGCTGTCCATCTACGTCTCTGTCTTGCTTGAAACTTCCACTGGCCCCCAGCCCTGTGGATGAAGTTCACCCATCTTATTTTGGCGTTCCAGGCCCGCACAGCCTGGCCCCCGCTGCGGCCTCTGTGTCCGCCTCCCCCTGCAGCTCTTTGCACCCTCCAGTTCCCACAGAGGGCCAGGCTCCCTCCACCTCTGAGCTTCTGTTCCTGCAGTTCCCTCAGCCTGGAATGCCTGCCTCCGACCCCCACACCCTGGCTTTTGGTGTTTGCTCCCAGCTAACTCCAGAGTCAGCTCAGCTTCCGTGTCCTCTAGGAAAGGCCCCCAGCAGGCTTGGGTGTCTCTACCCTGGGCTCTGGCAGCATCCTGTGAGGCCCTGCGTTACAGCACTGAGCGTGCTGTGTCAGGGTCCACTGCAGTTCTGGCCCCTGCCCCAGCTGACTGTGAGAGCCCATCTCAGAGTCAGGCCTGTGCTTAGTGCTGATCCAGGGCCTCAGGGGTAGTGTTTGTCAACCACCCTCTTGAGTGCCAATATCATATTGGTTTCCCGTTGCTGCAGTAACAAACACAGTGCCTGAACCAATACAGTTATTTTCTTAGGGTTCTGGAGGTTGGAAATCTGACCAGACTCAATCTCACTGGGCTAAAGTCAAGGTGTGAGTAGGGCTGTGTTCCCCCTGGAGGCTCTCAGAGGGAGTCTGTTTCCTTGCCTTTTCTGGCTTCTGAAGGCCGCCCACTTTCCTCGGCTCATGGGCCCTTTCTCTGTCTTTAAAGCTGGAAATGTTGGGCTGGGTCCTCACACTGCCATCATGCTGGCTCGCTCTTCTGCCTCCTTCTTGCACTTTTAAGGACATTGGTATTTATATTGCACCCAGTCAGATAATCCAGGATAATCTACTGTTTTAAGGTCAGATGATTAGAAACATTAATTTCATCTGCAGCGTTAGTTCTTCTTTGCTGCATAAGAACATATTCACAGATTCCAGGCATTAGGATGTGGACATCTTTGTGGGGGTGGGGGGGCGTGGTTCTGCTTGCCACAATGTGGAGGACCCTGGAGAAGACAGAGCTCTGGTGCTCCATGGGGGAGGGACCATGCCCCATGGAGCACCAGGAGTTGGGAGAAACCAAGGGCAAAAGGATGGTTGAGATCTGAGAGCAGGAGGGTTTGACGTAGGAAGCGCAGTTCTGGGAGAGCCAGAAAGCGTCAGGCCTGCACATGACACAGACCCAACCCAGATGGCTTCAGGTACAAGGGGATTTTATTGACTCATGGAACTAAAAAAGTCAGAGGTAGGAACTCTTCCAGGTTCAGCTTGATGGATGTTCAGATGATGCCCCCACAATTCCGTTTCTCTTCATCTCACAGTTTCCTCCTCATCCGGGATCGGCGTCATCCCCAGCCCACGTGAGATGGCAGCGAAGCAGGTGGCACTCGTGCCTCCCGGTCTCCAGCTTTGAGCGCACCGGGGAGGAGGAACTGAGGTCTCAGCACATCTCACTGCCCCACCTCGCCCAATTGGGTGCTGAGTCTGGCTCCCAACCAATCACGGGACCAGGGGAGCACTTGGTGATGATTGGATTGGATTTCGCCCAAATCATGGGTAGAGAATAGAGAAGTGGTTTCCCAGAGGAAATTCTGGGCACTGTTCTACCAGATGGGTGGTATCCCCTACTCTGTCCTAGGGAGACAGGAAAGGGAACACTGGACTGAGAGGCGACCTGGGTTCCATTTCTGGTTCTGCTGCTGGTTTGCTGCACGACCTTGAGCAGGTTACTGATGAACTTCTCTGGGCCTCGCTGTAAAGTAAGGGGGTGAGGTTGGATGCTCTCTAAGGGACCTTCCAGCTTCAAAAACCTTACCACTCGGAGGCTTTTCCCATCTGTTTAGCCCATATGTTTTCTTGTGCCTGTAGACACCAGTAGTAAAAATCCTTAGAAAACCCAGTGGGTTTTCTGTAGGGAAAGTTGTGGAGAGTAGAGCTAAGTTTGGGATTGGCAGCAGGGCTAGACAGGCATTAGGGAGCTTTGTTCTCTGCATGCAGTGCTGCGAGGAGGCAAGACCTGGGTTCATGGGAGACTTTGGGGCCCATACAAATGGTCAGAGATGATCACAACCTCAGGCTGGGTCTGCCACTAGGATTAAGCCTCACTCTGTGCTTTGCTTGGTGTCAAGACTGAGTGCGTGGCTAGGGTTGGGGGTACCATGTGAGTTGGGGTCACTATATGGCTGAGGTGGAGACTCAGTCTAGGCCTAGGGTGAGGGATCAGAGCTGAGCTGTTCAGCAGTAGGCAGGGCAGATTGCCGTAAGCTGGTATGTGGGGGACTTAGGTGTCATTCAAAAGCCACTTTGGCCACACGTGACTTCTGAAGCGCTTATTTTATCATTATTTGAGATGGAGTTTTGCTCTGTAACCCAGGCTGGAGTGCAGTGGCACCATCTCGGCTCACCGCAACCTTTGCCTCCCGGGTTGAAGCAATTCTCCTGCCTCAGCCTCCTGAGTAGCTGGGATTACAGGTGCGTACCACCACGTTTGGCTAATTTTTGTGTTTTTAGTAGAGATGGGATTTCACCATGTTGGCCAGGCTGGTCTTGGACTCCTGACCTCAGGTGATCTGCCCACTTCGGCCTCCCAAAGTGCTGGGATTACAGGCGTGAGCCACTGTGCCTAGCCAGCATTTATTATTATTTAATAGTTTATGAATTTTACTTACCTTGTTTCTTGGCCACTGCCTTTGACTAGCATGTTGAGTTTATGCAGGCAATGACTTGGTTCTCGGAGGCATTTCCAGCCTTTAGAATAGTGCTCAGCCATTGTAGGTGCCCAATAAATAATTGTCAAGTGACTAAATGAGTCACGCTGAGTGCACACATCCAGGGTTGGCCATGCCGTGTGCCTTAGACCAGCAGTCAGCAGTTCCCCAACTTTGCTGCCCATCAGAACCACCTAGAGAGCTCTTAATTGAAAATCCCAGTGCCTGGGTGGCTGAGGCAGGAGGATAATTTGAGGCCAGGAGTTCAAGACCTGCCTGGGCAACACAAGGCCTCATCTCTCAAAACAAAACAAAAATTAGGTGGGTTTGTTAGCACATGCCTGGAGTCCCAGCTACTAGGGAGGCTGAGGCAAGAGGATCACGTGAGTCCAAAAGATCAAGGCTGCATTGAGCTATGGTGACACCATGGCCTTCTGGCCTTGGTGATAGAGCAAGACCCGGTCTCTGACAACCTAAGAAGCACCTTCATGCCCAGGATGCACCCCATACCAATTGAATCAGATTGTTGGGGGGCCAGAGCCAGGCTTCCCCAGGCTAGTCTCCTGTGCTGCAAAGTTTTACAGCCACTGAATTAGACCATGTAAAGTGCAGGAGGGGACATGCTATTGCAGAGGACACACATGGTGACTGCACAGGTGCAGGAGGAGGAGGGAGTGGGACCAGAGCTGTGCGGCAGCGAGCCTGGGGTTCTGGGTGTTAGGATGGAGACTTTGTGTCCTAGATCTCTATCACATTCTCCGAACACTGCCACGGAGGTGATTACTTTGCTATCACAGAATGGATTTTGGCCACAAGTCAAGAAGAGCTCTTGCTTCCCAGCTAAACGATGGCAAATCAATTTGAGGTCTTGGCTGGAGCAGCTGATTAGGGCTGGCAGCTGGGGAGCCTCTGGCTGGCAGAGCCAAGGCAAGGCTCAGCTAGGCCCTGGAGAAGATGGCTGGCAGGAGCTGGGGGCCAGCTTTGGCATCCAAGAGCCCAGCCTTCTCTTGAAGGGCAGGGGAAGCCTAGGTGGGTGGCTGTCCAGGTTTGGGGTTGCAAGTTCTGTTTATTTAGAATAGTAATATTAACAGTCTTGGTCATCATTTATTGAGAACTTGCCTTGTGCTGGGGACTTAAAGACATTTGTTGCCATGACTGGGTGGTGCAAGTCTTTTCTCTTTTCACAGAGGCCCTGAGAGGTGAGACAATGTGATCAAGGTCAAAGGAAGCCTGGCGGTGGGTGTTGAACAATGAGAACACATGGACACAGGGAGGGGAGCATCACACACTGGGGTCTGTCGGGGGAAATAGGGGAGGGACAGTGGGGGTCGGGAGTTGGGGAGAGAGAGCATGGGGAGAAATGCCAGATATAGGTGAAGGGGAGGAAGGCAGCAAATCACACTGCCACGTGTGTACCTATGCGACAATCTTGCATGTTCTTCACATGTACCCCAAAACCTAAAATGCAATTAAATAAATAAATAAATAAATAAATAAATAAATAAATAAAAAAGGAAGCCTGGCTTGTAACCAGGTTCCAAGTGTTTTGTCATGATAGACTGCTTCCTGTGTGTTGGTTTTGATGTCTGGAATACAGGCTCCGGTGACCATGTCAGATCTGGGTCTGAAAGGCAGTGCTTAGCCTGAATTTGGCCATGATGAGGCACTCGGGAGGAGAGCACCTGCTGATGGCAGAACGGAATGAGGAGATGTTTCCTCAATGGATGGATGAATGAAGGAGTGTTTGCTAACTAAGGGCCGAAGAAAGAGCTGCAGGTGTGCTGAGGTCTGCAGTGTGAGGTAGGCAGCCTGAAAGCAGAGGGGTCCACTCCCCAGGGAGCTTCTTCCCCCTGTATTCGTGCCCTGTATAGCATCCTCTCCCATTGAATCACAGCTGGTTGCTGTGGCTAATAGAATACTGCAGAAGGCATGGTACATGCCTGAGGCTAGGTCACGAAAGACATTGCAGCTTCCACCTTGCTCTCTTGGATTACTAACTCAGGGGGAGGCTAGCTGCCGTATTGTGAGGATGCTGAAGAAGTTCTAGGAAGAGGCTCTGGAAAGGAGACCTCCTGCCGATAGTCAGCACCAGCTGCTGGTCCTGTGACTGAGACACCTTGAAGGCAGATCCTCCAGCCCGGTCAAGCCTTTAGATTAGACGGCAGCACTGGCTGACCTGGGGACTGCAGCTTCATGACAGACCCCAGTCTGGAACTACTTAGGCCACTCCAGAATTCCTGACCTACAGAAATAGACAGAAAATAAACGTTTATTGCTTGAAGCCACTAAGTTTTGGGGTAATTTATATTTATTTTTATAGAAATAGGGTCTCACTCTGTTGCACGGGTTAAACTGCAGGGGCTTGATTGTAGCTCACTGCAGCTCAGCCTCCTGAGTAGCTGGGACTACAGGCGTGCACCACCACACTCAGCTAATAATTTGGGGTAATTTATTATGTGGTAGCAAACAACTACTGCATATTGCTAGGTCTCTTTTGAGCTAAAAAGTCAAGAGAGCTTCCTGAAGGAGTCAGTTATTCCCTCTGTCCCCTAACCCACTTTAACCCTTGCCTCTCATCTGTCTTGGGTTACATGAAAAGGCACAAGACAGATTTGTTTTTAAATCCAGACTTCCCAGTTTACTATTTGGATGACGGGAGGATTTTTCTCATAACAAATTCTTCTCCTCCTCCTTTTTATTTCTTCTCCCTCCTTTCCTTTCCTCTTCTAGCTACTTTTCTTCATCAATCTTGCTTTAGTAATAGTAGCATTTAGTAGCAATGGCTGTCCTGTTGTAGGTACTATGTAACTGGCACTGTGCCAGGGGATCTGTGGGCATTATTCTATTTGATTTCCTCTATGGCCCTGGTGGTCATGGTGGACATTATTATATCTAGTAATTTTTATTATGTATTGTTATACATGATAATTTTAAAAAATAGGTAAAACCCAGGTTCAGGGCTGTTGAGGCACTTACCCAGGATCAGATGGAAGGAATCAGGATTGAAAGTCAGGTTTATCTGAGTCCAAATCCTGTACTCATTTCCATTTTATGCTTTTATTTGTAAGCCTTAGCTTTCTCATGTGTAAAGTGGGGAGAAGACTGACTTGACAGATTCCTGTTGGGATGAGGACAGCAGGCGGCTTTATAGCACTCAGCCCTGGTGTGTGGCTTACAGCAGGTGCTTGGTAAGTGGGGGCTCCCTTGCCCTCCCTTTTTCTCCCCTGTCTTATGTATTTTGACATGGGTTGTCTTGACTCTCATGCAGACAGGGCCATGCTAAGTGCCTCTTACAATGAGAGCAGCGGGGAGTTGATGTGGCCAAGAGCTGCAGACCCCTGGTCCTGCCCCAGGATACAGTGGATGTCCTGGGTCTGGAGCCCACGGAGATGGTGACACCAGCTCTGACCCACCCACTGAGTCTGTGCAATGTGCTGGCTCTGTGCTCCGAAGGGGAAGGGCCCTGCCTGAGCTCACATGGAAGGGAAGGGCTAAAGCTTGCATTCATACCCTGGCCAGTGCCTGTGGAAAGGCTGGGTGTGCAGCGGCTCATCTCCAGCTGGAGAATCCCAGCTGAGAAAACACTGTCCTCGGGGGGTATCGCATCATCTCTCAGATCAGGCAAGAAGCCCCAATTAATTACAAGTGCTAAGTGAGTGGTCTGGAAGCAGGATTTTGCAGTCAATTAAAGAGATGCTGGAGGAGGCTTCATTAACCCCCTGCTTCCTGGCAGCTTCTGGTTTAGGAGAAAGAGGGAGCTGCCTGCCTAGAATGAGCTTCCCGATCCTGTGGGGAATGTAAGCGGGACTGTGTCCTCTACCAAAGATGGCACAGGAGATTTTCCTGAATTGCATGAGAGGATGGATTTGATTTAAATCCCCTTCCCATCCCAGGTTTCTTGATTTCTTGTGCTTTGATCCTGCAGTGAAGTCACTAGTCAAGACATGGCTACATTTTGGGGTTCACCTTCTTCACAGCCCCAGCTGATCGTCCTCAGTCTGCACATCTGAGCATGTCACACCTCTGCTCAGTGCCCTTCAGTGACTTCCCATTGCCTGCAGGTTGAGTCCAAGCTCCACTTCCTGGCACCTGGGTTGAAGCCCCGGACCTCTCAGCCTTTCACTGGGAGCTCAGTGAATTCATGCGGACGCCTTCTGTTTCTGTCTCCTCAACTCCCGCCGCCCAAGTTGAACTTCTTTTGTCTGATCCATGCCTTTGTTCATGCCAGTCCCTCTCCTGGAGGTGCCCTCCTTCTCCACTGGGCTGATTCCTTCTCATTTAAGACTCATCTCAGATGTAAACCCCTCCAGGGAGCCTGCGCCGTGATCCCGAGTTCACCTGCAGCACTGCTCATGCTGCGGTGGGCAGCTGGTCTGTTCTCCATTGTCTCCTCCTTCCACACGTGGGTTCCCGAACGGAAGGCTGTGTGATTGGCATGCTTGGTGCCTAGCACATGGCAGAAGCCCCGTGAATACCCATTTCACCTGAGAAGATTAAGACTCTTAGGAGAAGATACTTGGGACTGAAAATGAGAGGGTACTGGCATTTACTGACCCTTGTGATCCACTGAGTGGAGACGCGAGAAGCGGAGGGTAAGTGTCTGAGTGTCCCGGGCTGGGCTGTTTCTGGAGGTGGGCCTGGGAATTAGGAGGACAGTGCCTGGGGTGCTGGGCAGAGCAGACCGATAGACTCTCAGGGAAGCTACAAATCCTTATGTTCTCTTTCTCTCCAGTCCTCAGCCTTGGAAGGCCCTCTGAGCCCAGTCTGGGGCTCTAGGAATGACTTCAGTCTTGTAGAGACTCCAGGACAACCTGCCGTTGGCTGCTGCTCCTGCTCTGAGACGTTTCCTCTACCCCCGGTACCCTGTGGCTGAAGAGGTTTGGAGCTCTGGCTCCTCCAACACCCTGCTCTACTCCAGTGCTTTGTAGGAAAGGGGGAGTTTTGCCTCAGTCTCTATGGTAGGCAGCCTCTAAGATGTCTCCAATAATCCCCAGTCCTGGTATTCACACCCTGTGTAATCCCCTGCCCATGAGTGTGGGTGAGTTCTGTGACTTCTCTCTAGCCAATAGAAGATGGCAAGGGTGATAGGGGGGTCACCTCCATGATTAGCTTATATAACAACATGGCTTACGTCTTGCTAGCAGACTCTCTCTGTTGCCTTTGTGGCTTGCATGCTTTGGTGAAGCAAACTGCCCTATTGTGAGCTGCCCCAGGGGAGAGACCCACATGGCAAGGGCCGGGGATGCCCCCAGCCAACAGTCAGCCAAGAACTGGAGCCCTCCATCCAACAGGAACTGAATCCTGCCAGAAACCACGTGAGCTTGGAAGTGAGCTGTGCCCAGCTGAGCCTTCTGATGAGACCCCAGCCCTGGCCTGCACCTTGACTGCAGCCCTGTGAGAGGCCCTGAAGCAGAGGACCCTGGTAAGCTGTGCCAGGACTGCTGGCCCACAAAAATGGAGATAATACACATGTGTTGTTTGAAGCTGCTAAGTTTGTAATAATTTGTTATTTAGCCATCAATCACTAGCACAGCTTCCCATTGCACACTGAGCTCCCTCTGACTCAGAGAGTCCAAAGCCCTGCTACCCATAGTGCACTAACCCAGGGGTGTGGGTAGATCTGCGAGAACAGGCAGGACGGTGACATCAGGACATAGAAGGTGGGGGATCACGGTCTGCACCCCTCCCTAGTAAGTACAAAGAGCCAAAAGAGAGACTGTGGCTACCAACTAGATGGTACAGAGATTGATATCTTGGGGCCTGAATCAGCAGTGGGGTCCCTGAGAACACGCTGTGGGGCAGACCCTATGCTGGGTGCTAGAGAGGGATCAGAGCGCAGGCCAGCCCTGCCCCTATAAAGCTCCCAAGTTAGTGAGGGAGACCAGTGCAGCAATGTCTCTTTCAACCGAATTGCAGAGCTCCATTCATCGAATGCTTGGCATGTAGTGCTCAAAGCGTGTGCAGGACCCCATTTACTCTTCATAACAAGCGCGGAGATCAGAGCAATGCTTATCATCCCATTTCACTTGTGAGCAAACACTCAGAGGGGTTAAGTGGCTTGCTCAAGATCACTCGGCTGGGTGACAGAGCCGTAAGCACATCCAGCACTGTCTGAACACTCAGACATGATGCTCTGTGGCTGTGAGTATGACAACAGCCTCTGCTCTGGTCAGGGGGACAGGGGCTGGATCAGGGTGGGCTTCACAGAGGAAGTGATGTTTGAGCTGGAGCTTCAGGGAGCTCCAAGCTCCCTGGAGTACCAAGGAGGGGAAGGGCACCGTTCATCTCAGGCACTGGGGGCAGATATGCAGACACCAAGAAGATGTTATAGATGGGGGCCTGGGGCACCTGGCACACAGAAGTGGGTGTGGGTCTGATCAGCAGGTCGAGGCCACATCACACAGGGCCATTTGGACAATTTGGATGTTATCCTATAGGTAGGTGCCATCATACAGGCCTTTGGAGGCCTGGGCAGCAGTGATGTGGTGAAGTCTGCATTTTAAATGCACCTTGGAGGCAGGGATAGGGTGTCAGCAAAGGGTGCATGGAAGGAGAGGGGTGGAGACTGGGAGACCATTGTGTGGCCATGGGAAGGGCCCAGACAAGCTGAGACGAGTGAGGCCTAACTTAAGGCAGGGTATTAGGGTGAAGGTAAGGGCAGAGGGTTTCTGGAATAGTCCTGACTCCTCACCAAGGCCTGGGAAGTGTTTGTGTCAGGGAGGAATGCTGAGTGGTGTCCTTCCTCTGGGACCCCAGCCTTCTGCATGTGGCCTGTGGAGAGCAGGTCTCCCTTAGCGTTTGGGGAATGAATGAGAACAGGTCGCTGTCCACCATGTGACTTGGCAGCATTCTCAGGAAGCGGCACCCCGAAGGGCTCGGGGGAAAGGGTGGTCAGGGATGGTGTGTGTGTGGGTAGGGGGGTGGGGGGGTGGGTCCTTGAGGACCACTCAGCTCCTGAGGCTGAAGAATTGATTCTGGAAGGCAGGGAGGCAGAGTGATCCTGGAACCCCGAGCCCAGTCCCGACTCTGGCCCCGGTTGATTTCTGGAGTCATTTCATGGGGTCCCGGACAGAAGCCAGGGTAACACTGAAGATTTTTGGGGCTTCTTGAGCTTTATGAGTCGCCTCCCCCCAGTGAGTTGGTGCTCCTGTTTGTCCCTGGTGGTGCCGATGGACAGAAGAGAACAGATAGGCCGCTGCTGTACAAGGTCTTTTTCTTTGTCGTCATGGTTGATTTTGTACATCTCAGCACTTGCATCATACAAAGGGGGGAGCAACAGCCATGGCTTTTGGTCAGGTTCAGGGGGGCTGAGGGGGTGCTCCTCCCCTCCCCCCAGGCACTGACACATTGAAAGGAAGCAGAGCAACAATGACACAGCACAAATGTGGGAAAGGTTCCCCTATGTGAGCAGGATGGTCGATCTCATCTGGGTCTCACTAGGACTCCCTGCTCCCACCCAGGGCCAGCACGAGCACCTCCCATTCTCTCCCCAGTGAAGAGCATGGGGCGACAGGAGTGGGACTGGAGCAGGGGACATTTGGTGGGAGGCATGTCCTCAGGTCTGGGAGCCCAGGCTGACCCCAGCCTCCCTGTGCAGTCAAGGGCCTGTGGAAACCTAGAGGATGGAGCAGGTGGACAGCGGGGGTGGGCAACCCTGCCAGCTGGGTGCCAGGGCTCTAGGGCTGGGGGGGTCCACCCCACCGTACTCTAGCCACAAGCCTGTGGGGTGGCTGCTTTGCCCACCAGCTGTCTCCCTGACAGGGGCCCGGGGCTGCAATCCTTCTGTCGCTCTCCCTTCCTCTCTTTTACATACACCTGGGATGGCATATCGACTTCCCGATTCCATCTGGGGGAGACCCCGCACAGCTCTGCAGTTAAGGATACCTTCCGGGAGCTTCTGGGCTTGCGGTGGAGGGTGTCCATGTCGGGAGATCCTGACCCGTCGTCCCCAGCACAGGGTGACCTGCAGCTGCCTTCCTCCTTCTCTCTGGCGGTGCCTCCCAGGCATAGAGCCTGGGGCCTTCCCCAAGAGCTCGCAGGCTCCCTCACCTGGTGCACGTCCCTTGCACCTCATTGTTTTGTCACCCACCTACAAAGGACTGCTCCTTCCTATTTTCCTATCTGGGGGTTCTCTCCCCTGTGTGTTGTATGTGTGCTGAATTCCAGGGCCTCTCCTTCCCTAAGTCTGTTGCATGCCCATTGCCCCATTTGTGTGTGCACACTCATTTCCCTCCCATCCGGTGGGCTGACACACACCTCACCTCCCAGGTGACTCTGTGAGCATCCTGACCCTCCTAGAGCACCCCTCACGTATTCTGTGCACTACCAACGTGTTGCAGGCAGACATGCTCTCTGGGCCACGCGTCAGCTGCTCTCCACAGCCAGGTCTGCATCAGCAATGATCGTCACTGTGTTCCCCTGGGCCTAAGAGTGATCACTTGGCAGTGGTCAGAGCCAGGTGTGTGCCAGGCAGAAATTCTTCCCCATGCCCACCCCCAGGAAGACCTCAAGTCCTGCTGTCCCGGAGCAGAATAGAGGGGTCTGGGATATGAACCCAGACTAAGCAGCCATCCTGGAGGGCAGGCATCGGAGTGGGGCTAAAAAGCCCCGATCCCACTCTGGGAGTCCAGAGGGACTGCACTGTGGAGACCAACAGGACAGCCCTCTGAGGGTCTGGGGTCCCTCTGGCCCAGCTGGGATATCTGTTTTGACTGGGTTCTCTTGCTCATCTGAAGCACCCTGTGCCTTGGTCTCTGCTACCCATCTGGTACTCTCTGTGTCCTGGAATCACCATCGAGGTTTGAAGGCCCCTCTCAAGTGGCAGGGGCAGGGGACCTCTCTGAATACCTGTGTCCAAGTGGGGCTCATGCACAGGGGCTGGGGAGGCCTGTGGCCTCTGGACTTGGCCCTATCTGTCTCTGGCCCAGGACCCCAGGGTTCTTGAGAATGACCATCCTGCCCAGGAAAACAGACACAAACAGACAAGCAGACAACAGGGGTGCGAGGTGGGCTCCCCATCACAGACACGGGCACAGACACAGACATAGGCCCCCTGGGGGGCTGGAGACAGGAGCACAAGGTGGGGGCGGGGTGCAGGGAGGAAGGTAAGTCCAGGGAGCTGGAGCTGCCGAGGCCCTGCTCCCCAAAGAAGGGACAGACCAGGGGACTTTTCTGGTTCCCTAACATATGGATTGTTTTGTCTCGTCTTTAAAGTATTGCAGTCTAACTGATATGGCTTTAACTATTAGAAACGGACAGAGAAGACACATGTCTGTCTCTGAAATAAAAGCAGAATCCACTAAAATGGAAAACCTGCAGAATGCAAACTGGGGCCAATGGGAACAGGGGCTTCAGGGGCAGGCAAGTCGCCCCCTCCCTGGCCCCTGCTTTGGGGATAGGCCCTGGTGGGGGCCCAGCATGGCTTCCTGGGGCACTGCCTGGGTCTGCCGCAGTGGGATTCTGAGGACCTCAGGCAGGAACCCCCCAAGGGTGGGAGGACTCTAGGCCAAGGACAAGGTCTCCTGTTGGAGGTGGTCAACTGTGACCAATAGTCTCAGGGCTGGGAGGGGGCATCTTACCCACGTTCTTTCTTACCAGGCACACATCCATGCACGCAGCTATCTTTTCAGACCCCCAAACATGCACACAACAGCCTTCAAATAGCTCATAGTTCTCTCAAACGCATGCTTCCACCACACCTAACACCTAACACATACCCATCACTCCAATACACATGCTATTTTGAAAACACATGCATACACAAGCTAACGTATGCAGTCTCAAAACACATGAGATGGATAGCACACACGTATGGTACAATTTCAGCTCAAATACACGCCTCAATCAGGCACACATAGACAAGACTAAATACACAATCGGTAACACACAGATGTGACTGCCACACACACAACCTCAAGACACACACACACTCTAACCCTACGCATACTCATATGATCTCTGGACACACAATCTCCGACGCAGTCTCTGACACTATCGAGCATGCATGGATATGGTTTCCTCCCTCATTGGACCTTTCTTCCCCCACCATTCCCACACAACTGACTGAGCGGAAAGCCTTGATAATTTGAGTGGGAGACAAATGCCAGTCCCAGACATCCCAGAGGAGAGTTTGTCCTTGGCCAATGAGATGAAGGGAGGGAAGCCTTCATCAAGTGGGAACTGGTTTCTCACCGAAGGCTTGGGGCTTTGGCCAGGAAGGGTCCTCCTGGGGATCATGGGCCCTGGAAGTGCATGGACAGGACATGGTGGGGAGAGGGGTGGATAGGAATGGGGGCAGCATGGCCACACCAGTTGGGGGGTTCCCCATGGCATAGACCGTCACTGCCCGATGGCTCCAAGTGTTTTCTGGGGGCCTGAGCAGCCCCTTGACTGAGCAAGCTGGGCCCAGACTGGCAGTGGGGGCCCAGGACCTAAGTAGGGTGGGGGTGAGGAACAAGGGGCCTCCTTACCTGGGTTCCTCCATAAATGAGCTAAAGTCCACAAATGATCCATTTGGAGGGACCAGCTTGGCAGGGGCCATGTCTCTCCAGGTGGGGGCTGGGGGAGGGGGTGCCCCTGGGCTGGGTGTCACCAAGGAGAGGGAAGAAGGAGAGTCCCAGCCTCCTGCCCAGATCCCAGCCTGGTCAGACCCAGGGTCTCTCACTCTGGGCCTTCTCCTGACTCCCTTCTTCAGAGCCAGGCCACTCAGTGCCCTTGCCCTGACCTGGGGGCCCACTGAGGGTCAGAGGCCAAAGGTCAGCATGCTGGGCAGGGCTGGAATGTGTCATTACTTTGGCTGGCTGGGGACAGTGGTCCTCCTGGCAGTGGGGAGCATGAAGGAATGTATGGGGGTCACCATACTAGCATGACCTTAGGCTTCCTGAGGGGGCCCCACAGTACCTTTGGCCTTGGGTTCAATGCCCCCCTCACTCCCACTGGGGAAAGACTGTCTTCCCTTTTTCAAGCTACTTGGGAGTCGGGTGCAGGTGGATGCCCTGGAATGAAAGGAGGTGTGAGGGGGAGCTGAGGGGGAGGAGCCCCTGGCCAGGGAATGGGGGCAGAGGCCAACTGAGGTTTTCCCCTTCAGAATTGAGACTTAACCAAATGAAAAGAAAAGAACCAAAAAGAAGTAGTAACAGGTGGAGTGGGCTGGGGCAGGAGGCCTGGTTACTTCTTGAACATGTCCTGCAGCGGCCCGGGCAGGTATTTGAGCACCGTGTCCAGGATGCTCTCCTCTTCCTCCTCCTCCTCGTCCCCGCAGCCGGCAGGGATGGCCTTCTTGGGCCGGGTCAGGCTCCCCTCGCAGGGCTGCTCCAGGGCCGCTTTTTCCTCCGCCTCCTTCTCCTCCTTCTTCTTCAGCCCATACTGGGGAGAGGGAGGGCGGAGATGAGCATGAAGCCGGGTGGGCAAGTAGACAGTGGGGTCTCATGGTTGCGCAGCCCTGGCTGAGGTGGCCAGGGGAACTTCCCGAGCCTCAGTCCTCTCATCGGTAAAGTGGGGATAAAGACGTTTCCCTGTAGGATAGTGCCTAGTCCTCAATGGGAGAGACCATGTGTGGAGTTTCCTTTAAAATTAACACGGGCCCATCAGAACTTGCTGCTGTGTTGAAATCCCCAAAGGGCTGAACACGGGGTGTTTGCTCATATATTTTGAGCCAAATTTTGGTGATGAAACCTGACTTGAACCAGTGGAAGACTACTTCTAGCCTTGATTTATTGCCCGGCACTAACAGACATGCACGGGACTGTCTGGCATAGGGTAGCAGCCCCAGACCCCCCGGGAGTGACACCTAACGGCACAAGGTGCTTAGGACGCTGTGGTATTTTTTCAAACATTCCCAAATTCGGAGCTGCACTCATTTTTGGTCCCAAAGATCTGCAGTGCGAGAGGGTGGACCGTAGCAGCGTCCACCCTCTTGGAGTACCTACTGCGCGCATTCTCTTACTTAATCCCCGAAAGGATCCCTTGAGGGAGGTGTCCTTGTGACACCCATTTTGCTGATGAGAAGAGTGAGGCTCAGAGAGAGCTAAGGCGAAGGTGAGAGCGGGGATTCAGGATTTCGCGGAACCGGTTTTACGCGCTTGTGGCCCTCCGCAGGGCGGGCGGGCGGAGCTGACCTTGTCTCGGATCTGCTGCCGGACCTTCTCCCGCTCGGCCTCCATGCGCGCGTGCTTGGCCTTGCGCTCCTCCTCCTGCTGCCGCAGTGCCTCCTGTCGCTCCTCCTCCTTCTTCTGCGCGTCGGGGTCCTTCTCCTCCTCTCCCCCCAGCATCTTCCCCATGTCCTTGGTGGCCCCTACGGGGAAGGGGTGGGAGGAAGGGGGCGGGATCAGCTAGGGGTCAGGGCGGCGGAGAGAGGGGCCGGGCGAGCCGAGGCACCCTCCCTGCAGGGTCCGACCCGCGGAGGGCGCGCGGTGGGGCGCTGGACCTCACCTCCAAGGGCCTGCTTCATGACGAAGTCCATGCCGCCGGCTCCGGTAAGCGTGTCCTAGCCCACGGCAGAATTTGCATGCAGCGCTGCTGGCTGGCCTGGCTCAGGGAGATGTGACAACCTGCAACAGAGAATTGGGGGTCAGACGAGAGAGGGGAGAGGCCTCTTCACAGGCAGGGCGGTGAAGCTAGACGGACAGCAGCCTCAGCCTGGTTCAGACACCAGGCACCTGTCGCTCTGAGGTCAAGACCCAATGCCCTGGTAGAGAGAAAGGGAGATGGAAGAGAACGATTTACTGGGCAGACACGAAGGTGCTCCCAAATAGCGTTTTGAAAGCGGCTTGATTCCTATTTTAAAGCCTTCATCTTGATCCTATTGTTCAGATTTGATTGAAGCGAGGAGCATCGGAAAGAGCCTGAAACTTGGAGTCAGGCAGAACTGGGTTCCAATGCCACAGTTATGTCCTTATTTGCCATGGGAACTTCAGCAAGACACTTAACCTGCTCGAGTCCCCAGTTTCCTCCTCTGTAAGAGAGAAATGGCAATGCCCTTTCCCAGGGCTCCCGCGGAGATTGGAGAGGGCCCAGCCCGGACCAGAGTGTCATCCCATCAATAGACCAGCCTGTGTTATGGCCCCAGCCAGTCGGAGGCAACTGAGGAAATGAGAACAGCCAGCTTGGATAAACGGATCCTGACTTTTGAAATTAGACAAATGGAAAATAAGTTATTTTTATTGTAGTGTACATGTAATTTTTATGTTTTGTAGCTTAATATCGATTTGTATTTTGAATTACACTTGGGACTGTTGGAGACATTATCATCTTCTGGGAGTTTAGGGCTTTTAAACTCCCTGGCACGGGCCTTGCAGGCACTCGGCAAACATTAGTACCCTACCCCTCTGGTTAAATCACCAACTTTCAGTTTTTATTGTATTTTTTATTGTTATGTTTTTTTTTGCCTTAGAAGTGTTCTCCAAATAAAATCCTAATGGGAATCTCAATATAAAAAATATGTAAAAGTGGAACTCTTCCAATCGTAGCGCTGGGGGAGGAAGAGCCTTCTCCTTTGGCCTCCTTACCCTCTTCCCTACATCCCCCAGAAGCTGAAGCCCAGTGCTCCAACTTGGGATTTTCTTTGTATTTCGACCATTCAGTTCCACTAGTTCTCTAACAGACACAGATCTCTTCAAGTGCAGACAAGACATCCGTGAGCTTTCCAACGTGTGAAGTAGCTTCATGGCAAGCCGAGGCCAGGCCTGCTCCCCAAGGCCTTTTATCCCACACAGCCTTGCAAGGAAGAAAAAGGGGTCCTGGGAAAGTGTGGCAGATATTGCAACCTGGCTGAGTTCAGGGTCGCTGGTTGTTCTTTGATAGATTGTCTTCATTTCTCTCAAGATGAGAAGTCATATCGGTAGACTGAGATTATTTCCTGATATGGGGCCCAAGAGCTTATCTACGTGATCAGGCCATGTCATCTGATAGGTTGTTTAGGGAAGAGAAAGTCATGATGTAGCAGAAAAAAAAAAAAAAAGCAAAATGGAAAAACAACCCAGGACCCAGGAGCTTTGGCATCAGACACACCTGGTTCAAAATCCAGGCACCTGTACTTACTGGCTGTGGGTCCCTGGGCAAGCTTCAGTTCGCTCTCCGCAAAATGGGGGAGTTTTAAGGCCTCCCTTTTACAGATATTTGAAGGACAATGAATGATACTGCTCAAATGCCTATGTGTCACAGGAACTCATAAAACGTCAGCCATTGCTGACTACATGTTTGTGGAACAAGCCAAAAAGGAACAGGCTTTCCATGCTTTCTAAGAAATGTAGGAGAACCCACCGCCTGACCCAGAATTCTGAGTTTGAGTGTTGCTCAGCTCAGTCAAGATGTTTTCGTTTAAGACATTGTGAAAAGACTTCATTTCTAAGAACAGGAAATGAACAATTTAATAATCAAGTGATTTTAGAAACTCTTGGGTTCCTCCTCTGTGTTTACATAGAGCTCAAGGAATTACCAGGTGGCGGTGGGAGACGCAGGGCTCTAATTTGAGATGTTCCAAATTGGTGGGCAGGGCACCCAGGTTTTAGTTGCAGCCTCACCCTAAGTTGCTGGGTAATCACTGACACGTCTCTCTCCTGGACCAGACCACTTTCCAGGCCCTTCCTCCAGTGCCTCTGTTGAAGCAGTCTGCAGCATTTGAACTGCTGACAATCCCACTGTACCCTCAAATCTCCTTCTCTCTTGGTTTTGTGACTCAGTTCTTTTCTGTCCCTGCTTCCCCTTACTGTTTCCTCTCCTATCCTCTTTTCTCCTCTTCCTTTGCCTTTTCTGACTCCTCTTCTTCCTCCTGTCTCTTACATAAGCCTTTTCCCCATGACTCTGACCTCAGCCCCTGCCTCTTTTTTCTTGCTAACCTATCTCTGGGATAACTCATCCATTCTAGGGGCTTTAATGACCACTGACACTGCTGACACCTAGACCTCTGTATTCACTCACCCAGCAAGTATTAATTGAGCACCTACTATGTGCCAGTCAATGTGTGAGGCACTAGGGATGTACAGGAAACAGGACAGACAAAGCCTTGCCTTCATGCAGATTACATTCTGAGGTATGTATGTGTGTGTGAGTGTGGGGGTACATGCACACATGTGTAGAGAAATAGGCAATAAATAAGTCAAAAAACACATTGGCCTTCTCCTGGATACCCTTTCCTGGATGTCTGTGGGCACCACTCAAACTCCACATGCCATTTCTGTATCACCAAACCATCACCTTCTCCCACCACCTCTGCTTGCACGCGTGCATTCATCAGACCTTGTTTACTACTGCCGTCCCTCCCCCAGTTTGCAAAGTAACTACTCACCACTGAGTATTCTAAATGCTCACATCCCTGTGACTCTAAGTTGCTCCTCTTCAGGCTGCTGGGATTCTTTATCTGAAACTCCTGAGTCTGCCCAAAAATCCTGCTGCCCGCCGCATCCCAGCATGGACCTCTGAGGCGTTAAGCAGTCTCTCACTCACTCTGTCTATGCTCCCCTAACCAACTCTCCTTTTCTCAAGGCCCAAACTACTAATGCCTCCTCCCTCTCAGCAGGTGACTTCCCCCTTACTTCACGGGTAAAGCATAAGGGGTATGAGCTCTGAGGTTAGGCATGCCTAACTCAGATCTTGAATCTGCCACTTTTTAAACTGTGCAATAGTGAGTAATTGACCTAACTTCATTGATACTTGATCTTCTCTATAAAATGAGAATTATAATGCCACTTTGAAATTTTAGAACTACTCTATGGGATGTGTTTGCACATGCTGAGTGCTCAGTACATGGTGGCTGTAATAATCAAAACAATTAATGTCAGTGAGTGGGATCTCCCAGAACCTCCTCTCCTTCTAGCTCCTGAGGAAGAAGCCCTCTCCTTTAGGCTGAAACCAATTCATTCACTTGTGCCCTGGATTCCCTCTCTCTATACCTCATCACTCCCTCTTCCTCATATATTCCATCTCCTCTTCAAAGGTTGCTTTTATTCCCTCCCTTCTCTAACTCCTTCCCTAAATTCTGCATTTCCCTTAATCCCAACCCTCTCACTTTGTGCTGAAGTGGTCTCCACCTGGCATCTCCACGTCTTCACCTCCCAGTCAAGCTCTAACTCTCTGTGAGACCAGAGCTCTGCTGCCTCCCTATGAGCCCTGAAATTGCCGTAATCAGTCGCCAGAAACCTTCCCATTGCCAGATCCACGAGGGTCTTCACAGGTCTCATCCTCCTCCATCTCTCTGCTGAATCACAGGCTGCTGCTGACTCCCTCCCCCAACCTTTGTCAGCCTTTTGGAATCTCCTCCTGAATTCCATGACACAGCACTCTTGTGGTCTTCATCCTACTTCTCAGTTAGGTCGTCTCTCTCTTCTTTGCTGACTGCTTTTCTTTCCTTTAAAGCAAAGCTGTTCTCCAAACAAATTCTCCTCCTGTGACTCCCATGGCTCCTCTGTCTCCCTTGGGAATCTCATCTACCCCTATAGGTTTAGTGCACTTCTTTGGCCACAGATACCTCCCTCTCTCTTCTTCCCCTCCCCCAAACCTGCACATTTAACTCTCTGCTGTATGTTGTCACACGGATAATCTCAAATTCTATCTGTCCAAAGATCAGTCTTATCCTGGCTTTCCCCACACACCCATCTTTTCCTCTAGCATGCCTTGTTCCAATCACCTCAACTGATTCTTCATTCATTCATTTATTTATTCACTCACTTGCTCATACTACAAATATTCCTTGAGCACCTACTTTCTGCCAGACACTGGTTTGGGTGGGCTGTGGCAGGGAGCAAAGGAGTCCCAGCACATGGTCTCACAGCATTCAGTTGGGCTGGGGAGGTAGAAGCTGGATAACAGATCACACAAGGAATTGGTGAGTACGATTGGGATGCGAGTGCCGAGGGAGAAGTCCAGACACTGTAGCTTTGCAATGCTGCCTGCATCCCTACCTTCCACTCTCCAACTGCTGCTAATGCCTTGCTTGGTTCAGGGCCTAGAGATTCTGGATTTGTCTGTAACCTCTAATTGTCTCTCCCCCAGCTCTCATCTACCCTCCACATGGCCGTCCAATTAATCTTTGTAAAGGGCAGATTTGCTCATGCATACACACTCTGCAATGGCTCCCCATGGCCTTGTTAAACTGGTGCGAGTCCTTGTGCTGACCTTCAAGGCCTGCACAGCCTAGCACCCATCTTCCTTGCTGCTCATGTGCCACGTCTTGCACAGGGCTCTGCTTCAGCACATATTTCCCAACAGGTATTCTTTCTGAAAATATCTGGGCATTTATTTGTGCATGCTATTCCCACAGCCTTGGAAACTCTTACCCTCATCTCTGCCAGTTCACATCCTGGCTCCATCACTTACTAAGTAAACTTGAACAAGGGACTCAATGTTTTCTCATCTGTGAAATGGAGACAACAACACCTGTTTCCAAGGCTTGTAGTGAGCACTGAATGAGGGGATGCAAATAAAGTTCTCAGCCCAGTGTTGGCACAGAGTAGGTGCTCCATACACAGTATTTAACATCATCACCATCATCATTATCATCATCGTCAGTGCTGATTTTCAAAGATCCTTCTCAAATAGCCTTCCCTTCGTCCAATTGCCCGTATCTCCTTGGCGAGATGTAAGGGCATCTTCCCCTTTGGAGACCCGTGGCACTTTCTAGGGCAGTATTGCCTGTCTGCAGCACATGCTCTCTCTGTCTGTGTGTCTTTCCCTTCCTGGTCATTCTGAGCTCCTCTCAGGACAGGACCAGTATCTTGTTCATTTCTTCTGTCCCTAGAATGTGCTACATCTCCTGGTACATGGTAGATCCTGAGGACGTGTGTGCTGGGTTGAATTTAACATGTCAACGAGTGCATGCGAGTGTATGCGTTGAAAGCATAACCCCGTGTGTGCAGCTCTGGACGTAGACACCGTATGAGTGCGCGCGCGTGTGCAGCCGTGTGTGTGGATGTTTTGCCACATGCCTGCAGGAATGCCGAGGTCCAGCAGGTTGCCGGCAGTTGAGGATTTTGGCCGGGCCACCAGGAGGCGCTCCTTAGTGGTTCTGCGGAAAGCCTTGGTCTATCCCTGCGCGGGAAGGGGGGTGGGGGTGGGTGGGGGTGGGAGTGGGGATGGGGGTGGGTGGGGGATGCTGCGCTTGGGGGAGGGGAGGCGGGAGGCGAGGGAGGGGGGCTGCTGTACAGGTTTCTATGCCTTTAGCGCTCCGGGGACCCAAGGCACGCCTTCAGCTTCCCCTCTCCGACTCCCCCCGAGCCTGTCCCGGCCCAAAGGCAGCGAAGGCACTGGCTGGGGCTCGACCATCTGAGCCGCAGGAGGCTTTCGGGACTGGGCCCCGCCGTCTGACAAGCCGACTCGGGCACCTGCAGTGGTTGTCCTTGTGGCTGTTTTTCTGTTTTTTTTTTTTTTTTTTTTTTTTTTTTTTTCTTTTTTTTTTTTGGCTCAAGTCTGGGCTATATTCACTGC